GACACGAGGATTACGAGAAAAATAATAACAGATATTTGTAATCATTTTCTTCTTGCAAATTGCAGGATTTATTTCTCGTGACATGAGCAATAAAGCTGTTAATCCTGTGATAAAGCATTGATCGTTGTTGCAATTTATCTAATGAGCTTTGCATTGTCATTAGTAATTATCAATAGGGGAAAATAATTACTTTAAGAATCTGTTTCAGTGTGGATTCTAGGAAAATGAAATTCTTGAAATACAAATGAAAAGGCTGTTTGATTTATAACAAAATATTTGACCAAGTTCCAATCTATGTAGCGAGTTTTCTGTGACCACTGGGAGCCATCAATCGACGCGGCAATTATGAAACAAGTAATAACAGGCATTTGTGAAACAAAAATTTCGTTTCGCGCGAAGTATATGAGGATGTAATTCTTGAAACACAGTTTTTTCACTCTGATTTGAAACTTTCGAAACCTAAATAAAAGAAAAATATATAAAATTAATAATATTCTTTGAAACATCTTTAAGCATCTTCGCCACTATATTCTAGATAAATTTCAGAAAAGTTTCGATTCTTTTCAAACAAGAATCAGGGTTAGATATTTTTCTACATACCCGTGCCTTTTTTCTTTATTCCGTTTAATTATGATCCGCGAAGATTTGTTGAAAAATCTTCGGATGCCTTGAAGTTCCTAAACGAAGTATTCCACTTGCAAACAAAACCAGCACTTGGAGTTCTAAGAGTTTCGACTTTCGAGACTTTCGAAACTTCCAAGCCCAAAGTTTCACATTCGAAAATTGGAAAATCGCATTGAAACCCAACCCGTTAATCACTGATTCACTCTGCTATCGCGAAAAGAACGAAACGATCCACAAATTTTCTTGCTCGCAAATTATCACAGAACGACGCGATTCTCTCGATAATTCCGACGAAACGATAGCCCGTTCGACAAGATATTCACCGATATGCAAAACCAAAGTCCATTTTGTCTCGCATAAACGATCGAAAGGGTAGATAAAATTAATTTATTCGCCAAGATGCCGCGACACGGAGCGGAGAAGATTAGGCGTGCCTTCGGAACAATAAGCCATGGCGCGTTCCACAAGACAAGGGCGGAATTTAGAGGGCCTACTTTGAGAAAACCGCGTCTCCTTGGAATGACACTTTTCGTTCCGGTTTCCATGAAAATCCAAGCCTTCCGCCGACGAAAGAAAACTGCACTCTCGAATAATTCACACGAACACTCCGCTCGAGAGTCCTCGTTTTCCGTAGGATAACCTTTGAATCGTTCATTCCGTCTGCGCTTTTGTAGAAACCGATATTTTAAGAGCGGATACTTCGAATAATTCAGAGGCTAGAGCGAAAGTAAGGGAAAGAAGGAAAAAAAGAAAGGGGAAGGAAATGGAGAAGAAGGGACGAGGAGAAGACGTTGGAAGGAATAATAACGAGTGGTGTAATTAGACTTTTAATAAGGCATCGAGTGCGGATCGAAGAATGGTAAAATGTAAATCCAGTGACATAATACTTGTAATTACGCGAGTCTCATGGTAGATACCGTTGTAATTCCTTGGTATAATCGCTGGGACGGAGAGATTCTTTCTGTCACGGTATCGGAGAAATTGGGGAGAAAATTGGAGAGAATATCGGAGGAAGATGTGGAAAAATATCGATGTGAATCGCGAGGGAAGAATAATAATAACCGTGATGTCGCGAGATCGGACAGAAGTGAATGGTTACGAGTGCAAAGCTATTTCGGAAATATAGATCACGATGATAGGCCGTTAATAAGCAATAGCCCAGGTATCGATGTGCTTCACGCGTATCAGTTGCTCTCGTTATCGGTGACAATCACGAACATATAGAGTACCGAATTGCGCAATGCAACGTAGTCGAAAGATAACACCTATTTTCGTATATCGAAAATGTATCGATGTTGCGCGATGAATTTTATTTTTGGAGAAATATGACCTCTTTCCAAAGATGAAGAATGGGTTTTGGATTTGTAGCCGAAGAAGAAGAAATAATTTTATCTGATATTAGAGTTGCTTGACCTTTTTGTTCTGAATTTATTGGGAATTTATAGCTGCTTTTGGAAAAATTATTTATTTTTATTAACGCAGGAATTTCTATGCAATCCTGTACCTGATAATTTTTATCCTAAGATTTTAATTATTATGTACTTATGAAGATAGAGAATGGAGAAATAAATCATTTTATCTGATATTAGAATTGCTTGACTTTTTTGTTTTGCAACTTTTGGAAAAATTATTTATTTTTATTAACGTAGGAATTTCTATGCAATCCTGTACCTGATAATTTTTATCCCAAGATTTTAATTATTATGTATTTATGGGTACATGTCAGGTATAATAGGTAAATTACGCGTTAAATAGACATAAAACACGCACCCCTTATTTTGGTAGAAAAAAGAATTTTGGAACTGCTGATAAAATTCATTTATCGACAATATATTTCTACTAATATTAAAATATCGCGATGATATTTATTATTGGAGAAATTTGTTGACAGAAAATTAATTAAATTACGCAAAACACATACCTCGAATTTTTAAATTATTGATACAATTTATCGATAATACATTGTATTATGACCATACATTGCTCGATATAAATTTATTAATATTTCACAATAACAATATAGTTTTTTATTAATAATTTATTTATCGTGTTATAGTTTATTATATTAATTTATTTTATTAATTATCGTAATTTTATTTATAATATCGTTATATTACATAATTCGAATACCTGAATTATTCGACGTTATTCGAATAAAGTGAAAGTGAAACTGTCTCTCTTGCGAGAATAAATGTTTCCTCAGAAAAATAAAATGTTTGTTATTCAATGGTATTATCGAAAGAAATGCCATCGTGACTCATAAATATCGGACTTAATGGCCTTCGACCGGACTCGATGTCCCTCTTTGCTCTTTGGTATCCCCCTAATCCATGAATCTGAGACCAGGATTAAGCCTCTCCCCTTCTTGTGTAAGAAATCTTTTAACGAATAAGCATCGCTGTTCAATAATCCCCTCCAAGTGGAGGAATAAAATTAAACCCGGACGAAAAACAGATTAAAACTGGGAGAAAAGAAATCACGGAAGGCCAAAGAAAAGAAATCACAGTCATTGTTATTAAACACAATGAATCAGTTTGATCGATACGATAAATAATGAACGATACGTGTCGACGTATTTGTCATAATTTGATAAAGATTCTTTAATGAAGTATTTGCACGTATACGTGTGTGAAAGTAACGCACACACGCGCTATTTCGTACGTTCGAGAATCACTCGGAGACGGGGATAGATTTTAATTTGGAATTATTCGTAGAAAAGATCGATTAAATCGAGAATTTGTCCTCGCATGGTATTAATAATTTTACACAGCGAGAGCCACGTACGTGTAATTTTAATTATTATCAATTTTAGACGAAATATTGATATATGACATTAATAAAAATATTTACCGTAAGTAAATATTTAAATATAGTATATAGTAAGATTACTATACTATATATACTATTACTATTACTATAGTAAGATTATATCTAAATATAGTAAGAAAGTATAATTATTTATGTAACTTGTATATTGTACAATTAATATAATATTTTTGCACAAATATTTATGTACATGCATATGTGCTTGGGTCACAGTCTATTATTTATCAGTACAAATATTTATTATTATTAATTTATTATTAATGTATTTCACATTTATCCATTTATTATTATCAATTCTTTGAATTACTATCTTTCTTGAATAGCTATTACAAGAAAAAAGTATTCTTTATGATATCCTTAGTAACTGATGTTCGTCGCCATCAGTATCGCTATAAAATACTCATAAATGGCGTCAAGATTCTAAAGGAAATAGAGATTTTTTCATAAATGTATCACAGGAATTAATTTTTCATTAAAGAAAATTAATTTTCTATTATCAGCGATTTGTTCAATTTTTCCTTATCGTGTTAATACTTACACGTCAAGTACTTGTCAAATGGGATTAACGGTGCACGGAAAGTCCAAACGTGCACGTCACAAAGTGTGACCAAACAACATGGACAGCTCCGTGTTTCGAAATCACGCACGTTCTTTTACAAAATAGCACGAGATAATTACGAGTTATAACCATCACACATAAAACCTTCTTCATCGACAAAATAGTCTTTAAATTACTATTAAATTAAATTAAATACTATCAAGCAGTCTTTATAGTCTTTAAATTATTTTCTCCAGATTTATTTACGTAAAATTTAATTCCCGAAATCGTCGCGCCTTTTGGTAATTTTTGATAATTTTGCACGCGTTTTGATCATTTTTAATAATTATTAATCGCGCTTATTAACACCGAAGCCACCGAATTAATCGAAAAATGTTTCAAACTCCCAGGGTTTTTATTTTCTCGGTGATCTCGGAAGCATTCGGCTGCTTTTAACGAAATTAACTTCTCGAAACGTGAAAAGGTGCTCGTTAGAAAATTAATTTAATTTTTTTTTCTTAACTGAAGAATCTAATTGCTTCTACTTATCGCTTTAATTGATATTACTGATTTATGGTATACTCGAGATCGTATTATTCATCGATAGTTACTTAACAGTTTCTGAGCTTCTATCGAATAATTGCAAAATGATAATACTCGAAATCTATGAAAAATTTATAATAGTTCGAGAAACACGGGGAAAAATTGGGACTGGAGGAAGCACAGTTGGAAGATAGAAATGCACGTGATAGGTGTCTGAAACTAAGAAGAACGTTTTCTAAAATCTCGAATATAGACGAAGAGATTCTGGGCCAGACAAGTCACTGATAACCGTCGAGGTTATCGAAAAATAATTAATCACGATGATCTGGATCAATCGCGAAATCGATGTGTTGATACAACACAGATCATGATTCTATCTAATCTCGAGAAATGGGCAATTAAGTGTGAAGTACGTAGATCATGATATATAAAATAATACCTAGGGTGATGTTTCGAGTCAGTCTGCAGGGAACGGTTCAACCGAAAATATGAAGACCACGTTCACGCTTCTTACGCTCTTCGCCATCTGCAACGGTGAGTGATTACAATTCTCATAGGTTTCGGTGAAAAAGGGAATCTAGCGAGGAAATAGAGTTTGACATCAACTTTTATTTACTTATTCCCTGCTTGGAGGAACGATAAAGTTTCGCGTTTAGCGGGTTCAAAGACGCGTGAAACACGTTTCCCGTGAAGGTGTGAAACCTTATAAAGATCCAAAATAGTGGGTTCAAGCTTTCTAAATCCTTCCTTCTAACAAATTTCCTCGTTTTACCTTTTTAGAAATATTTTTTAAATTCAATTTCTAATTTTTTTTCTTTAATTTCTGTATTAAAGTAACGCGAATGTTGATGATTAATTATAGAATAATCATGGTGTAGTAGTGTCAGCAGTTGTGAGTGTTTGGTACACGTGAGTGTGGTTATTTCGATAAATATATTTGATAGTTTTATTTAAATCAATCATACAACACTGGACTAATAAAATTTTTAAATATATATTTTAATTTTTAGTAATATATCTGATATTGTATTTCCTGGGATCTTATTCGTGAAAAATTTCGATGTTTGAAAAATCCTGATCATTCGTGAATATTTCCTGACCTATTACAAAAAATAACATATATATTTATAAAAAAATGAAATTTCCAGAATGAAATTTAGAATGGAATAGATGATCTAGAAAATCTACATTCTATTATTTTATTTAAAATTTTATTTCGCACGATCGATTCTTATTTACTTAATCAAAATGGAAATTACACTTAAATAAACCTCATTCGTATAATCAAAATCTTATTCAAATACTACGCTTCATTCAGTCGTCATATCTATTTGTTCTCCATGATAATTATCTGATTGATCATCGACGTCGATAAAAATGAAACAAAATACACCCAAAATTATTATTAAACCTCCAAAAATTCTTTTCATATTCGACACAAAAGAAACTTTTTTTATTTTTCCATGTAACTACAACAGACTCGTTAAAAATCTATCAGCGGTTGTAATCAACGAATATAAAATTTCCCCGCGTAAAAAGGAAACCTCTAGTAGAGTCACTTCAATACTGGTACTATTCGTGTCTATTAATTTTAACCAAAAGTATATCCAAAGCTATTATTAAAATTCCCATTAATTTAAAAAATAAAATAAAAATTCCATCTCCGAAGAATTCTTTTCACGTAGAACACAAAATATATCCAAAATTATTATTAAAATTCCCCCTCAATTTAAAAAATAATATAAAAATTCTATATCCAAAGAATTCCTTCCACATGAAACACAAAATATTTCCAAAATTATTATTACAATTCCCCTCAATTTAGAAAATAAAATGAAAATTCCACGTTCAAAGAATTCTTTCCACGTGGCGCACAAAATATATCCAAAATTATTATTAAAATCCTCCCAAAATTTAGAAAATAAAATCAAAATTTTACGTCCAAAGAATTCTTTCCACGTGAAACACAAAATATTTCCAAAATTATTATTAAAATTCCCCTCAATTTAGAAAATGAAATAAAAATTCTACGTCCAAAGAATTCTTTCCATAAAATATTTCCAAAGTTGTTATTAAAATTCCTCACAGTCTAGAAAATAAAACAAAAATTCTACTGTCTCCAAAAAATTCTTGCAATTCTGCGTGTCCCGTCCGCAATCACTAAATACAGATTATTGTGTACCTTCTTTATTTACACAGCGGGGCTGCTACCGAAGTACGACCCAAGGATCGTGAACGGCGAGAAGGCGAAAGAGGGAGAGATCCCGTACCAGGTGAGTTATCAAAATAACGTTGCCCTTAGTCGTGACAGAGGAGACTGAATCGTGAAAAAGTATCACGAACGACGGTTTCCTGGCTAGTTCGAGGATGGCCCTTCTACAGTAGCTGTGTACATGCTCTCTATTCACGTCTTGCATCGTGGATTTCGTCAAATTACCGGAATACCGTCTTTCTTTATTCCCAGGTGTCCCTTCAAAATAGGGACAGCTCGTTCCACTTCTGCGGTGGCTCCATTCTCAATGAAAATTATGTCATTACTGCGGCTCACTGCGTCTCGGGGTAAGCATTCGAAAAATTTCACTAGAACTCTTATTATACAGATAGTTACAAAGGATACAGACTAGAACGTCGATTATGCGAATTTCAATTATACGAATTAAATATATTATATATTACGAATCAATAATTTTTTATATTAATTATATAGCTATATATAATTGATCATGAATATATATTTATTACGAACAATATATTATATAAATATATTATATATACAAATCAATCATTTATTATATTAATTATATAGCCGTATAATATTGTTGATCAAGAATATATATTTATTATAAATAATATATTATTATATGAATATGAACAATATGAAAAATTGTAAATCTGGTAAACGTAAAAAAATTTATTTATTTGTCTCTTTCAAGTAAACTGGCCATCGAGCTGAAGGTAGTAGCTGGAACCACCAATTTAGCCAAGCCAAACTATGAACATAACGTCGTTAAAATCATTATGCACGAAGACTATAACCCCTCGGATTCTTGGAAGAACGACATAAGTTTACTCAAGGTATGTGCATACGTGTATAAGGATATGCAGGTGTAATATGGATTTTACGACGAGCGAGATGGGTATCATTCCATCGTGGTCTATCCTTACAGGTAGAGGTGCCATTCGTGAAATCGAAATTGATTTCTTTCGTCGTTCTCCCATCGTCAAAGGATGTCCTCAAGCCGAATGATGTGGCAACAGTCTCTGGATGGGGCAGACTTTGGGTAAGCGAGAGTATTCCGTGTTTTCGCCTCATTTAGGGAAACATTAGTATACCCTAATACCAAATTAGGGTACTAGTCCAGAGCAAACGTGTCCACGCTAAACGAACAACGATCACTTAAGAGAAACGTGAAACAGAAAATATTGGAAAATTAATTATACGCACATTAGAAGAAAAATCGCTAAATACGGAATTTTTAATCAAAATTTTGAAAATGCTCGTTTAGATCCTGGTATATTTAGCGTTAAGTTACTTGGAACTCTTTTGTACTACATATTTTCATTTTTAATATTAGAAATTGATAGAATATTAATAAAAGCTCCAAAAAATATATTTATAATATATAAAATGCAATGAAATTTAACAATATTAATTATGCCAAAAGTAGTTACATACTTTTGGTAACTAAAATTATTAGACGATTCTATTATCAACCCCTCGCACTATGATTTAATCGCGAAAAATTATTTACCGTGAATTGCAAAATTATTTAGTTTCAGCTAGTACTAGTAGACTATGTACCTAATTTTCTCGTAATGAAATTATAAATTTTTTAAAATTCATCCCAATTTCGTGCGAGTTAGTGTAATTTATCTTTTTCTGGTTGGGAACAAAAGAAGCTCGTCATTTATTTAAAGATAGTGGAATTTTTCCGATCGTTAGTCACGATTTCACGTGTCGTATGATTGCAGCAAGGTGGTCCGACGACTATTTACTTGCAACGTGTAAACATCTTGATTGCTAATCAAGAGTACTGCAGATTAATGTACAACAGAGAGAATTACAACGTCTACGACTCGCAGATTTGTGCTTACGATCCAAGCACCCAGAAAGGATCGTGTCACGTAAGTATCATAATTATTTCCCCTGCAATTTTGTTAATTTAAATAACTAATTTCCTAATTTGAATACGATACTCGTACAGACATCCACAACGATAATTTTCACTATAAACATTCGCTGATTTAATTTTAATAATTCCCAATAATTTCACCAATAACATTTGTATTAATATCTGCAATAACAATTGAATAACCTTGTCGCAAAATTGGCATAAATAATTTTTCTACGCCATTCCGTTTGCGTCGCGTTTCACATTTTCGTCGAGTTTACACGAATCGATTTTCCATGCGACTTCGCTCGAACCATATTTTATTACAATACCGTGAAATTAATATAAATCGTGGTCCCTCGAAAGGTTAATTAAATCGTAATTTATAATAGATACGTCGTACAGTTTGCGTAAATTTCATTTCACCGATAGTTCGTGCGAATTCAATTTCGTCATGACTACATCGAATCGAGGTATCGATAAGGATCGACGTGTAACCCAACTCGTGACTCGTGATTCTTCGTTATTAATTTCGTTAATTACGTTAATTTCGTGAAATTTCCAGGAATTTCCATAAATTTTATTTTCGCCGTATTTTCTGCGAATTTGCCAAGTCTCGCGATTTTACCAGGATTGTTGCTTGACGTATGTTGTTTATTTTCATGCAGGGTGATTCCGGTGGCCCGTTGACCGTGGGTGGAAAACTCGTTGGTCTCGTTTCTTGGGCAATGGGCTGCGCCCTCACCGACTATCCGACTGTCTACACCCGTGTGGCGTCTCACCTTAATTGGATAGAGGCAAACGCTGTGTAAATCCAGCAAGTGAAACGTGAAGCAGAAGTCAACGTAAAACGCCAGCTCGGGACTTGAATCTTTTTCACGCGGAACGTAGCACCTTCGTCGCTGTAAATAATCCGCCTCGGCTTTCGTATCGCATTTTGTATATGTGTTTGACGAAAAATAAATCGTTTATTTGATACGACAACGAACGAACCTTTTTTCTTCTAACGCAACCCTGCCACTTACAAATATCTTTGCTCGGTTCTTTATTTAGCATCGTGAAAATCGTGGTAATTTGTGCTTTTATTATTTTATCGGTATGTTAATGGTGTTATTGGAATACTCGGTATATGATATTTCCGATTAGTTTTTCAGTGCGTTAATAGTATTATTAGAATATTAGGTATCTGTATATTTTATTATTTTTATAGTGTATTTCGTATCTAGAATTATTCGGATATTAGCTGCCTATATTTATTATTTTTACAGTGTATAATATTATTAGAATATTAGATATCTACATTTATTATTATTTATAATTAGTATATTCGTATCTAGAATTATTCGACTATTAGGTACCTGTATGTTATATTATTGCCATACCATATTAACAGTGCTACGAATTCGTATTTTATAGTACTTCCATAACGTATTCAAAAGTATTATCATGGTAATCGTAATCGTTATATCACCATCATCATCATGATCACCATTGTGTAATATAATTTACCATATTTGTACAGGGTGATTCTGGTGGTCCTCTCACGGTGAACGAGAAAATCGTTGGACTCGTCTCTTGGTCGACAGGATGTGCTCTTATTAATTACCCTACTGTCTTCACTCGCGTTACATCTTACTTGGACTGGATTTGCAAGAAAGCCAAAATGAATTCCTGTAGAGAATTTTAGTTAGTAGGCGTTTTGCTGCTTGGTAACTGTTTCGTAGAAGTTGTAACAATTTTGTGATGCACGCGTCAATTAAAAAACAGCAGGGAACAACCGAAGTTACAAATAGAAAACAAATAACGTGCACGTCCCTCTGCGGAACTTGTTCATTTGCTTCATAAACACGTTGCCCGCGTTCAAGTAAAACGAAGTTCATAATCTCGTAACATCGTATTACGACATACGTTTAAAACTTCTGATACCGGTTGATTTTATCAGCCACTAAACGCTACACGGACAATACCAGGCCTAGCTGGCCTAGCAAACTCAACACGGACAACCCTAAATCCAATAGACGCGCGCAATACCGATCCGATCCAATCAGACACGATACACTCGAAACCAGATCATTCGACATAATACAAAGCCTAACGAACTCACTCGTTGCCACATAAACAATAACAGGCTTATCTGACACCGTATAGACTGACAGCAGCTAGCCAAATTCGAAGTGGACGGTAACAACTCCAACTGACCTACTGCACAGACACGAAATTCGAGCTTTTACAGCACAGCTGACGAAGCTGTATAGATTGTTAGGGCTTTGCGAGATCTTCGACACTGTAAGGACCTAGAAGGCTGTAAAAGTGTTCTATGAGAATTAGGACGCTTTATAGATTTACGAGACTATAGCGATTTTGAAGATCTCACGACAGTTTGGATACTCTAGGGATTCGTGAAATTATATAGGACTTCACCAAAAATAGGACACTGTGAGTGTCCTGTATGAGAACTTGGATACTTTATATACTCACAAGACTATGGAGATCCTGAGGATCTCACGAGAGTTTGGATACTCCAGGGATTCGTGCGATTATATAGAACTTCGCGAAAAATTGGACACTAAAGGGACTCAGGGGATTATGGAAATCCTCCGGATCTTATGAGGATTTAGATATCTCAGGGATTCGCGAAACTGTGGAATTCCTTAGAACGTCATAAGAATTTTGGATACCCTATGTATACCCTCACAAAACTCTGGATACTCTAGAGACCCAGGAAACTATTAAAATTCTCAGAAACTCGTGAAAGTTTGGATACCCCAAGGATCCAGGAGATTATAGAGGTTCTTAAGACCTCGCGAGAGGTCTAACAATTAGACATCCTGGAGATTCATGAGACTATAAAGATCTACGGTGGATCTCGAGGCCTTGGACATCTTAAGAACTCGCAGGACTGTGAAGGACCTCGAGATCTCGTAAAATTTTAAACACCCCAAAGATCCATAAGATTCTTTAAGGTATCACGAGATCTCGATCGTTCTAGAGACCCAAGAGGCTATGAAAATCTTCAGAACCCTTGAGACTCTAAAATGTTTATAAACCTACGATACTACAGTAAATTAAAAATTAAAAGCCGATAAAATCCTTCTAACGCAAAAGACCTCTATGATCTTTACGATCCTCAAAGAATTAACCCTCTGCACTCGAGAGGCGACTCTCAGTCACCATTTAATCAAGTTCTAAACATCATTATTGTAGGATACCAAAAGAAATCGCGAATCGGCTATTGCCAACAAAAACAAATTGTAAACCGATCGGTATCTTCTAGAAGCAAATCGAAAAGTTATTCTATATACCAAAATTAAGTTGCGTGGCTCCCCTACGGGGAGATGAAGCGTAGGTCAAGGAAATTATAAAAGCGTGGTCCTTGACAACCGAAACAGAGTCCTTAGAAATCAGTTGTGACCAGCACAAGCGCGAGTCGCTTGGTGTTGGAAAGAAAATTTTAAAAGAGTGCATGTTTGTGTATTTTCCTTATCTTGGTTTTCTTTCATAAGTTAAATCAGTTTACGAGTTTTGAGTTTGTGTTATTGTGTTCTTGTTCTTTCGTGAATTTTCGGTGTCTCAAGATCAGTTCTGCCATCCTACATTATTAATTAATATCTCGAATTTAAAATTGCCCAACAATGCGTAGAATATCGAGGTAAAATAATTCTACGTCTTACAATTAATTTGCACTTCTTATTTACCGTTTTGAAAATATCGTCGACTTTATAATAGAAAGTTTTCGAATTACTATGTTCTGTAACTAAAAGATCGCCGAGTGTAAAGGGTTAATAGATCCTGAGACTCTCGTGTATCCTTAATATCCAGAACTGATCTAGATCCTCCACAATGAAGATCTATAGTCGTTTATCGTTTCCCAATCTTCTGTACACAATGTAACGAAATTTACCGATACACCTGATCTTTGAGACCTAACTCTATTATTATAATATATTTGAACCCTTGCTGTATAAATATATAAATATATAATAATAATAATATCACAGAAAACTTGTTACACGTTCTCTCATACCTCGTACATATTCCACGATATTTGCATCGATTGTGTTATTAAATCACCCACTGTCCAACGTTTAGTACGAAGTGAATTTTTCTGAAACGATGGTAAGCGGATAATTTCGAAAGGATTAACTTGTTCTCGTCTTTTATCGTTAATGAACTGTAATTACTAATCGAGTGGTTTTTTCGTCCCGCGGACACCGCGGTTCTGTCCGGATGCATTCGCCGAATTGGCAGCTGTGCTAACACCGATTGCATTCTGATTCCGCTTTTGTGTTTATGCAAGAACGCTGCGATCCAATAACGCCATAAATCACCTGTTTGTAATGCGTTCAGATTATTCGCGCGGACGCGTCCGTGTCACAAGAAACCTCGTGTATCTCTCTATCACCGGTGTCATGAATACGCCTACCTGAAGCAGACGATGTTATTAACGACGATTTAATGCATTCGGGAAGTCGAATGAGCGACGTGCATCGGATCCATGTACGAACGAGACAGCTGTATATTCCTGTTGCCTTAACTCTCGTGGTACCTTGCAAATTTTCCGAGTGGTACGAAATTAACTTGAAAAATAGAGACGTGATCTCTGATTCCCCTAAAATTAATTTATTATTTAGTATTTCTTTTTAAAATGAAGGTATCTTTCCTTTCTATTTTATTTTATTTTATTTTATCTTATTTTAGTGAAAAATGGATGGATCATAATTGAGTGAGAGAAAAAGAAAGATAATTTTCTGATTTTCTGTAGATAAGAGTAGATAAGTTTCAAAATTGGAATGTCGATATATCAATTTAAGATATACTGATAATAATAGTAACGAGATTTTGTAATGGGATTTTGATAAGAATTTAATTCTAATTTGTTCTAAACTGTTGGTAAAAGAAATATTGGCTAAACTATATTGCAAAAGTAATTTGAAATAAACAATTACAGCCTGAAAAAGAATTTCAGTGTACAAACACAGGTTTAACTTCAACTCTTAACATCTATACTAATGCAATAAAATTAAAGAATATCGAAGAATATTGTCAGCCCTGGGACAAAATTTTCTTTAAAATTTACGATAAATAAATAAATAAAGTAGATATTAATAACAATAATTAGTGAAAATTATGGGAAGAAATCAATTTCATACCTTTTAAGCATCTTCAAGTGAAAAGTGAGAGTTTCGATCACTCGTTGAGGAATGACAAGCCACAGTGATTAATTCCATCTGGAATTTTGAAAAATTTTAATACCAGAGCACTTGATTGCCGATTAAGTTTATATATCTGAAATAAATTGTTGCCTTTTATTTCGCGCAGCTGATCGATTACACAAATGAGTGATTCAAATAACGTTATACCTACCATCGCTGTCATGACAGAGTGGTACAAACGCGGAACTGCTCGGGGCTACTGGAAGAAATGGCTGCTAGTGAAAAGCGAAAACTCATCTGAGAAACGAATTCGTTTCCTTTTCCCCTTTAGTTTACTCGCGGATTCATTTTGGTGGCAATGGTCAATTGCCGCAGTTCGTACAACGGAGAATTTTCATTTCTCATGGTCCGCAATCGTATATTGGTATTCGATTTCAAAGGTTGCTTTAATATCGTATCGTTCACGTGCATCGGGCTATAAAAAGCAACGAAAGATAAGATCAAAAAGTGCAATTCGCAAGGTAAACTTGTTTACACAGTCGTATCGAGCTTGCTAAATAATAATTGATTCGGTGATATTTCCTAGAGTATTAATTTACTCGAGATGACAATAAAAATTCATTTTTCAGCATCAATGTTATATATAGGAACTGTTCATTATTGTACTTCATTTCTTTTTGCATCAATCAAAATTCATTCGCGAAACTCGTTTACTTTTAAGAGAAACCTTGCAATTAAAACGTTTCGTGTTTGTGCTTCAACTCCTTGTACAAATAATAATATTTTCAATTATAACTACATTTTAAAGGGGCACGATGTATAGAAATAAAATTCC